GCCAAGAGCACTCCTCCCCACACTTTCCCTTCTTAACAGTGACACCTGGAAAATAGGCCAGGCAAGAATAGGGAGGGGTAGGCAAGTCAAGGCAGAGGATGGGTATGGAAGGCAATGCAAGGAATGGAGAGATGGGCAGAGAGAGGCAAGGCAAGGCAAAGGATGGCCAGGAAGAGTTAGGCAAGGCAGGGGAGGGGTAGGCAAGGCAATGGAAGTCAAACAAGGGCAGGTAAAGCAAGGAAAGGCCAGGCAAGAAAGGGGCAGTTAAGTAAAGGTGATACGTAAGGTAATGCAAGGGAGGTGTAGAAAGGAAGGAAAACAGCTGGGCCCAGTTTCAGGTGCAGAGGATGGGCTACCCAGGGGACATAAAGACCAGCCCCAGCTTTCTGTTCTGGTACCTCTGGTATAGAAAATCCAAGGTGTATACAGTTTTTGAGGATTGGCTCCAAATTTCTAGGGTGGGGTTCAGGAAGTGAATCACTAGAGTGTCTTTCCTTGGGAAGCAAAGGATGTAGTCCCACTGTTTGTGGTACCATGGGGAGCTAAACAGCAGCAAGACAGATCTCTCCTGGACAGCCCCCTTTGTGTAGGAGCAATTCTTGGGTGTTGGCAATATTGGAGATGGTGTCTGACTTTTGGGTCTGGACTCCTGAAAGTGTGTCCCAGTGCCTTTACACGGGGAGGAAGGCAGGTAACCCCAGTGCCTCAGGTGCAGATCAGAGGCTGCAGCAGCCAGGAGCAGCTTTCTGTCCTGGGACATTTTGTGTGGGAGCAATCCCCCGACGACTGCGACGATCGAGTGGGGATCCAAATTTTGGAGTTAACCTTCTGCAAAGGGATCACAGCGCTCTTCATAAAAACACACAGTCCTGGGGCTTGTGCTGCAAAGAATTGGGTGCCCAGGGGATGAAAGGGACAGCAGCAGTTTTTCTATCTGGCACCTTTGGTGTGGGAGCAACCTCCCAGCATTTTCAGTTTTTTAGGTGGTCTTCTGCAACGTTTGGCAGTCTGTTTACTGTGGGCAAGGTAAGCAGCTCTCCCCAGTGTGGGTGTGCAGATGCTTTGGGGAGTTAATGCCCAGGGTTCTGGCACTTCTGTATAGGAACAATCCCTGGATATTTTCTGTTTTGGAGGGAGGGGATCACATTTCTGCTGAGATAGGGTCTTCATTCCTCTCTTTGGCAGGGAAATCACTTTTGGATTCTCACACCGGGCAGTTTAGAGAGTGTCCTAGTGAGTTGAAGTGCTTTTCCTGGTATACAGCGCTATCAGTTACAGCTGCTGAACCTCCAGAGTGGGAATGTAAAAGCCAAGCTGTTGAGCTTTTTCTCCTAGTCCATTTAGTGTCTGAGCAGCTGGTGGTGGGGTTCAGTTTTAGATCCTGACTCCGTGAGGCTGAAGGATTACGATGGTACAGAGAGCCGAAGGAGCAGATTCCGGGGTGTGTGCTGCAGTTCAGCGGGTGCGGCTGAAGGTGGAGCCAGCAACAGCTTCCTCGCCTGGCACTTTTGAGAGCTCTGTTTTTGCCGGATGTTTTCTCAATTCCGTAGCTGGATTCTGAGAGAGGGGGAAAAAAATTTACCAGTACATCCTTGGGAAGGAGCTCGTGTTGCCCCTCGAGCGCGGCGCAAACGAGAGTTTGCACGTGGAAGGTCAGCCAAACCTTTCGGTCCCGACACGGTTTATTTGAGGGCGGTGAGGTTTTGGACTTGGCTAGTTTAGCTGGTTTAGCCCTGGGACATTGACTTTCGCAAGTCCACACCGCCATCGCGTGGTGGTTTGATGAGCGGTGAAAGCCAAGCGCTTTTTGTGCTGGGACCATTAGTTATAGCGCAGGGGTTGAATTTTGGATACTGGTTGAATTTTGGATACTGGCTCCTCGAGGGTGAAAGAACGTGATCCTGCATTACACGTGGGAAGGAAGGCGAATCGTCTCCTTGTTGGCTCTGCAGTTTCTCGCCTTCAAAAGAGGAGTGAATCCCAGCACTGGCTTTTTCCTCTAGAGCCTTTTCTGGGGGACCAGCTGCTGGACGGTTTTAGTTTTGTAACTGTGAGGCAGAAGGTGTGTGAGGGGACACAGAGCTGGGCACACAGCCCCGTGCCTGTCGTGCAGTTTACAAGCTGCAAAAGCAAAGCGAAGGCCAGAGCTGACTTTCTGTTCCTTTTTGTCAAAGGAGGCAGGTTAAATGTGGAGACAGTAACAGCCTGCTGAGCAGGCACCTTTTGTGACCAATATCTACACTTGAGCAGTTTAAGTACAGGATCTCTGCAAGAGTGAAAGAACGTGAGAGTACCCACAGTTTGAAAGGAAAGCTTGTAGCCCCAGGGCACATGGTGTTGATATCCTTCGAGGTGACTGTGAAGCCAATTAACAGTTTTTTCCCGGTTTTGTTTTCAGATTAAGGTTATGGAGCTGGGCTCAGCAAGAGGAAAAATGCAAAGGGTGCACGCAGCTGAAAAAACAAAGCATAATATCAATGTGTGTTGTGCAGTTTAGGGCTGTATGGGAGATGTGATGCCCAGAACCGTCATTTTTTTCTAGGACTGTTTCCTAGAGGCAGCAGATTCTGAAAGGCTGTCTGTGAGAGTAGAGGACACAACATCCACCTGAGAAGAAACTTCCATAGGCCATTTCCATTTGAAACCCTTAACTGGCACCAGAATCAAGGGGCAATCCTCATCCTCACTGGCCACACCTGGGGCTGCCCCACCCCCTTATCACCCTCATTGTTCACACCTGGGGCTGCCCCAGGTGAGAGGTGACTCCACCCAGTGCTCCCAGTTCCCTCCCAGTATCACTCCTTGACTCCCCCCACTGCTCGCAGTTCCCTCCCACTGCTCCCAGTATCATTCCTTGACTCCTCTCAGTACTCCCAGTTCCCTCCCACTGCTTCCAGTATCATTCCTTGACTCCTCTCAGTACTCCCAGTTCCCTCCCACTGCTTCCAGTATCATTCCTTGACTCCTCTCAGTACTCCCAGTTCCCTCCCACTGCTTCCAGTATCACTCCTTGGCTCTCCCCTGTATTCCCAGTTCTCTCCCAGAGCTCATAGTTCCCTCTCTCTGCTCCCAGTATCACTCTTTGACTCCCCCCAGTGCTCCCAGTTCCCTCCCGCTGCTCCCAGCATCATTCCTTGACTCTAAAATTGAATATGGATGAAGATTTCTCCCAGACAAAAGGGGCCACGACAGAAAGGGTCTGGGGGAAAGGGGGAAGCCACAAGCTTGGAGATGGCACTTCTGGTCAGCTCAAATTCTGGTTTTAGCTTGCCTCCTACCCAGTTTTGTCTCAGTTGTGCCCACCTAATTCTTCAGCTGCTGCTCCCTGGGAGGAGGTGGCCCCCATCCATGGTGGCACAGCTGACCTGGACAAGATGAGGAGGAATAAACACCAGCTGAAGGCCTCTGTGAGCTGTTTTGGGATGTGGCAGCACTTTTGAACATCACATTGATGCCTTTGGTGATGCAGCACTAAATATTAATTACCCCTAAACCAACTCTGTGTCTGTTCTCCCAAGGTCTCCCACCTGCCTCATCCTCCATGTCAGATCCTACTTTATTTTCTAAATAAATACCCTGCAGCCACCAGATTTCTTGGTTTGAATCCCAGGCTTTCTCCTGGCATATGTTATTTTCTTCCTGGAAGCCACAAGCCATGGTAAACAAACATTTACAGGTGCTGGGAACACGGGACACAGGCTTCTCCTTGGCTGACTCATCTGTCTGGGAAGAGCCATAAATTCTGGAGCTTCAGGGCTGAAGTCAGATAGGGAAAAAGCTCTTGGGTAGGCATTTGCTTGTAGAGTTCCTTGTATTTCCCCTAAAGCACATCCTTCTTGGGATTCTTTATGGATGCATGGTGATCCTGGTCCTATGACATGGATGTGTCCTTGGAGACCAGGTGGAGAAGGAGGAGCTTTACCCCTCTGTGTGCTTGGTGTCCAGCTCTGCTTTGGGACAGTGCCCAAATCCTGCTGCCTCAGTTTCCCCCATTCACCTACAAGTTGTTTTTCCTGCATTTAAGTGTAAGTTGCTCAGGACAGGGACTGTACCCCACCAAGGACATCCCTCTGTTACAGCATCACTCCCCTCTGCCTTTAGGGAGGGTCCCCTTTAGACCCCCGGGGGTGGGGGGCTGCAGTGAGGGGCTTTGGGGTGTTCCCAGGGATGACAGTGTGGATGAGCTGAGATGGGAATGGGGACAACAGCAAGGGGGGCAGAGAGATCTGGCCTAGGGCTGCAGACAAGGCTGGTCAGGGATGATGCACCCTGATTTGGGGGGGCTTTAGGGTGCTTTCTTTCCCATAAAAGAGGAAAGGGAGGACAGAAATGAATGCAAAGGATTCTCCCCCTTCGAGCAGCAGCTGTGCAAAATCTCACCCTGGGGAGGCAAATCATGGGGGTGGGCAAAAGGCTTTTGCAGCCCCTTTTCTCCACCAGCCTGCCCAGCTCGGGGGCATCTCTTCCACCCAGGTGGGCTTCGTCCCTCGCCCCTTCCCTCCCCGGGCGCAGGAGGGGAGCGAGGGGAGGGGAAGCCGGCGGGGTGTTTAGGGGGATTGTCATGGTTACCTCCCTGGCAAAACAAATGGCTCCACTGGATGATGATGATGATGATGATAGTGGTCACTCAGACAGCTCCGGACAGTGTGGGGTGGCCGTGGGGGGGGGGCGAGAAAGCCACCCTGGGGAGCCAGAACCGCCCCCCTTGGGGAGCCAGACACCCTCTCGGCTCCTCGCCGCCGGGGCACATGTTGCTGCAGCCCGTTCGGTAAGACCCTTCCTCCCCCACTCCAGACCCGCCCTGGACCCCCCTGGTCCCCCCAGCCCCGCTACCCGGTGGGGAGGGTCCGGGGGGGTGATGCCACCGGTTGCCGAGGTGGCTGGTGGTGCAGCGCTCCCCCACCCCAAGCCCCGGCGCTCCCTCCTCTCCCTCCCTTTTCCTCTCTCCTCATCTCCCTCACTCCCTGTCTTCCAGAGACAAAAGCGCTCCGCAGCCGTGCCTGTCGCCTTCAGGATTCCTCCTGTCCCTCCTGCCCCCCCAGCCCGGCCGCAGAGGGGCTGGAAGAGTGGGTGAAGTTGCTCCAACCCCCCCATTCCCTTCCTCCTCCTCCTCTCTCCCAGGAAAGGTAAGAAAAGCAGTGGCTACTCTCCGTTTGCTCCTGCACCTTTTTAGCTCCGCAGGGGTGGGTGTGAGGTGCGTGTGTGTGTCTGTGTGTGTGTGTGTGTCACTTCCCAAGGCTGTGCACGATCCCAGCACAAAGCAGCTCACTGAAGAGATCCCTGTCATAATATTTCTGCAGGCACAAGCCCACACTTTGAAAGCTGCTGCTTCCCAGCCTTGCCTTTTCCCAGCTGGATAGCGAGTCCCGGAGCATCCCCTCCCTCCCCAAAATTGTGCAGGCATCAGTAGTGACTGTCTCCATCTCCCTGCAGGCAGAGGACAGGGATGGATTGGGGGGGGTGATGCTGCAGGTGACAGGCTCTTGCTCTCCTGGGCAGCCAGGTGGGATATCCTGGCTGTGGACACAATGTTTGGGGAAGGAGGACTGACCTTGGCAGGGTGAGGGGGGCTGATCTCAACAGTAAGGGTCAAAGCAGCAAGACCTGGCTTGTATCTGCCACGTTGGCTGGGGCATGGCAGGGCAGGGATGGATGGGGAAGGGCTGTGCTGCTCCTGAGGGCCCTACGTGTCTCCTTGGATCCAGACGCATTCCAGTTATGGAGTTTGGCAATTTTAGCCCAGCAGAGGGTTGTCTGGGCTAACACCCCCCCTCTGGTTCAGCTCAGAGATCTTCCCCCAGCTGCAAGCCTGGCAAGGCAGGGGTTATCTAAACCCTGTGTCAGAAATGAGTGATTGACAGCTCTAGAAAGGGGCTTGGGACGTGAATCCACATCCTTGAGACCCAGCTCTGGGGCCAGGCTGGTGGCCCAAGACATCTGCCAGGGGTATGACTGGCAGATCCCAAAATCTGTCTCTGCCAGGGCTGTCAGTCACGTTCCAACCTGGCACTGCATCACCCCGGGAACGAGGACCCAGCTGCTTTCACTGGGTGCTGGCAGGAGCAGCTGCTCCCCAACCTTCCCCCAATCTCCATATCCAAGGCCTCGGGGTGCCCTTGGGGACACCCCAAAGGGATGTGTGTCTCTGCCCAGCAACCTTTGTCACCTCTGTGGCAGTGGGGGGCCATGTTGTCATCCTTCCAGGGCCTGCAGTGGATGTTTTTCTGCTTTCCCCATCAGGTGTGATACCCCGCTTGCAGTTTGAGGTTTGGGGAGACTGGAGGTGGGAGAAAAACTCCTGTAGCTTTTCCTGGGAAGTTCCCACAGCTCTGCCATTGGATCCCTAGCTCTTCCAGACAGGAGAGTGCTGTGTATGCTTTGAAAACACCATTTGTCCTGGTGCTTCCTGGAGATGTTTTGGGGGTTGATCCCAGTTACCTGGCCAGGTTTGAGCCTCCTGCTTTGGGGGAAAGCAGCTGGAGGGGTCCTGTATGTCTTAGTCGTGACCTGCAGATGATGTGGGTCAGGTGGGTAAAGTCAGGGGTCCCTCAGCAGCATGCCCACATCTTCTCCCTGAGCCCTGCTGTCCTTGAAAACCAGGGAAAATTCCCAAGTGTGACTCTACTTAAAAGCCCTGAAAGTTTGGGAGGTGCAGGGCTTCTCCTGTCTCGGGATTGCAAACAGGGGGGAATTCTCTTCCCCGTGGGGATTGCCCAGGGATGCTGGTGGAGGGTTGTGGTGCAACAGGCACCTTGTCACCATCCTTGTCCGGATCTGTCCACCCGTAAACCTCCACAGGGCACTCCGGCTGTTGTCATCCTGGCCAGCCACTGGATGTCAGTGTTGCTTGAGACAGAAGAAGAGGAAGGAATATTTTATCCAGCTGGAGGAAACCAGGCACCCGCTGAGCAGTGGGGATGTGCCCCAGGTCTGGCTCGGACCTGGAGATGCGGTCTCCAAGGGAACCCGTTTGGGGCCGGGCAGGGGTTAGGGCAGGGCGGGGCAGCGAGTCAGCAACCCAAAAGTGCATCTGTCGCAACGTGTGGCACCAGGGCTGGGCTTCACATGGCTCTTCATGTCTTGGGGGGCTAAAGCAGCCGGGGCTGCCCCTGGACATCTGCCCTTCAGGCAGCAGGGCTAGGTGTGGCTGTGTTGGCTTTTATTCCAGCTCCTGGTTTGGCTGTCCCTGTCCTGTTATCAGCTGTAGGTGCCACAGACCCCGTGGTGTGGCACTGCTGGGACCCCAACGCACGACTGGGAGTCAGGTCCTGTCCGAAGCCAGGCTGTGTGCTCACAGTTTGCTCTGTTTTTCTATTCAATACATGAAAATACACCTCAGAGGAGCATTATTCTGCCTCTGTCTTTACTCCACGTGCTCAGACAGATTTTTTTTGAGGGCACATCAGTGCTCAGAGACACAGGCAGACACCCAGGGCAGCTCTGAGCAGCGCTCCAGGCATCGCCCCCCCTTTTTCAGGCACGTGAACGCATTTGCCAACCCAATCCTTTAAAATTCAGCCCCAGCCTCGCACTGCTGGGACAGGGACCTGCAGCCATGTGGAGGGGCTGGAGCCCGTGCTCCAGATCCCAGCCCTGCGCACTCTGCACGTCAGCGGGACCGTCCGCAGACGTCGGAGCAGCATCAGCACCTTCCCCGTCAGGCGGGCGCGGGAATTGGCCGAGGGAATTGCCTGGAGTGGGGGGAGCACGTTAGTTACTGCGTCGCTCCCTCCTCTGTGGCCAGGAAGAGCAGTGGATTGTCATGGAAAGAGTGTTTACAAAGGAAGGAAAGAAGGAAAAAAAAAAAGGGAAACGCAGTAGCATCCCGGTGGTGTGCCAGGTCTGGAGCGTGGGACAATATCTGTCCCCAGCCCTGAGCTACTCCCCAGCTGATGAGATTACAGGTCTGGGGTATTCGGGGGGGATGAAGGTATTTACCAGTGGTTTCCCTTTTTCCCTGGGATGCCAGACGCTGTGTGAGGCCGTGGGTTGGGACCAGGTCGGTGGGATGACCCCATGGCTGCCCCAGGGCACGTTTGGTGGCAGTGAGAGGGCACCCTGAGGACTGGGTGGGTGCAAGGATACCCTGTGCTGCCGTGATGCTGGTGGTAATTTTTGGGATGCAGCGTCCTGCCAGCTGAGTGCTGAAGGTGCAGCCCTGGGACCTGGGTGGAGACCGAGTGCAGGTCCTGGAGTGGCAAAGGCAGGATGGGGAGCAGCTGGGGGGCTGGTGATGGGCTCCTGGGGGAAACAGGAGAGAGATGCCAGCTCTCCCACTGCTTTCCCCCACTCCAGCCTCCCCACTCTCCTTTTCCATGCTGCCGTCACTTGATGGCGTTGGTGACACGATGTGTGCAGAGCAGCCCCATGGCTGTGCTGGCCGCATCCCCATCCACAGGGTTTTCACTGGGAAGAGCCCCCCAAGCCCTCCCTTGTCCTTGTAGGGCTGGTTTTTTTGGCTGGCACAGCAGGCAGGGCTAATTGCAGGCTCCTCTGGACCCCTGGGATCTGTGGGAAAGGTGCAACTCTCCTGGTTGGCTTTATACAGGACATGGCACAGGGCTCTGCATCCCACCAAGGGTCCCTTAGTGCTTGTCCTGGCCCAGGTGATGCAGAAATCCCTGCTGGCAGAGTGGTTCCCAAGGGAGCCATGTCCCCAGTCTCCCACAGGTGAGGGGGCTTGGATCTCAACCATAGCTCTGCCCTAAGTCTCTGCAGCCAAGGGAGCTTCTGAGCTAAAATCACAGCTCCTGGAGCCCAAATTCACGCCTCAGGCAGCCCATAATGAATTCTTGTTGTGCCAAGCTGACAGAGAGCATCTTCACCTTGTTATTTCCTCCTTTCTTTCTTCCCTAAGGCAAAGTAATCCCCCCCCCCTCCTTAAGTGCCCCACCTGGCATTTAATCACTTCCCGATGTCCTGATGGCCTCTGCCACGTCCTGCAGAGAGGGGACCCTGTAGCAGGTGGAGCCTTGACAGCTCCTGACTTTACAACATCCCTGTTGGCAGGGCTTGGAGCACCCCGGTGTGGAATGGGCTCCCCTGGCTCAGGCCAGGGCTCCTGTGTTGGAACAGCCGAGCTGGACGTGCTCCTGCATCTCCTCATGCACCCCAGGGATGCATCCCCTGACCTCCCCGGGCAGCCCCTGGGGTGAGCAGCACTTGAGGGCGGCAGGAGGGGAGGATTAAATCGGGAATGGCAGAGGTTGTTGGCTGGGATTCAGAGGCGTGCCTTGGGATTACTGCCCTCCATCACCATCCTTGCTGCTGTTTTCTTTGCTCGGTTTCCCTGGCTGCTCTCCCCCGTCCCAGCCAGCCCTTCTTGCTCTCCCTACCTCTCTCCCTTTTTCCTCTCTTAACGCCGTTTTCCTGCCCGAGTGCTCGTGGGGCTCGTGGCCTTGATGTCTGCTGCTCATGTCTTCCGTGGCATTTGCATATAAAGGTGGTTTTTAATAACGCAGGACTGGTAGGAAATGAGAAACTGATGTATTTCAGTGCTTCTGGCTCCTCCTGGGCCTTGTAAATCACTGCACAAAGCACTGCAGAGCCAGCCGGGGAGAACTGCTGCCTAGCAACTTCTCCCGATGCCCCGGGGGAGCGGGATGTGGTCCTGAAAGCCACCTGAAAGGTCTCCTTTAAAACCCTCGGGCTTGGGGGAGAGGAGCTGGAACAGAGGAAAACCTGCTCGGGGGGAAAAGAGTTGGAATGTAATTGGCAGAAGGAGCCACTTTGCATCTGAATGTCTCGGCTGAGCACAGCGTGGGATGAGTCAGCCTGTGCAGGAAGGATCTGTGGATGCGGGGCAGCACCTCCCCGAAATGCAGCGAGGATGAGGATGCCTGGCTCTGCCTGCCTGCTCTTCCTTCCCACAGGATAAAGGAAAACTCTCAGGATCTTAGCCTTATCCTGGAGAAAGTTGTCATTTTGGATGGATAATGAGGAGGAAGAGGGATAAAAAAAGGATGTTAATCTGTTCTGCCCAGACTCCAGCAGCGTGAGAGCTGGGGAGATACACGAGTGTGGATCTCTGGAGCCACTTGTCTCCAGCCAGGCAGGTTTGATCCCTTGTGCCAGCAGGGATATGGGAAAATGGGAAATGGGTTTGCCATGTGTGTTCCCACCAAGGTCTTGCTCTGTCCCCATCCCCTTAGTGGAGCCACCAAGCCCAGGTCTCGTCCTCTCCGGCGTCACTCCCCTTTCTGTCCTCAGAATTGCTAAAAAAAAACAACATGAGGTGACAGTGGCACACAAACATTTTGGGCACTTGGTGCTTCTCATTCACTCTCACCTTTCCACCTCTCTCCAGCTCCCCACCATCACCGACAGACCCCCGGGAAGATGCCAGGGCTGATTAACTGGGCGACCCTCTCCCCGCTGCCCCTCACCGCGTCAGAGGTGACATCTTGTGTCAGCGGCTACGCCTTCGGGATGACAGCCCTGCTCACCTACCACAACCCAGACCCCCAGGCTTTGGAAGGCAAGTTTCAAGGAGTAAAGCTTGGGAAGGGAACTTTAGAGCCAGGCACGTAGCAGTGGTGGGTCTCTGTGCATGCCTTAAACCTTCAGATGCTGGTAGGAAGAGCAACCAAGTGTATTATGTCCGAGACTGCGATTTTTTAGGTGTGAAAAATCCCTGGGAAGTGCCGAGAGGGTGCTGGCTGGTGGGTCCAGGGAAGCAGCTGGTGTTGCTAAAGCCCCTCCTGGCTGGCAGGTCTCTTTGTGTTCCCCTTGGATGAGGGCACGGCCGTCGTGGGCTTCGAGGCGGCCGTGTCCCGGCGCGTGGTGACGGTGCAGATCAAAGACAAAGCCAAGATAGATGACACCTACTTGGACAGCTGCAGCCTCCCCAGTGGAAGAGGTGAGGAGGTGGAGGGTGTTTTAGGGAATATGGGGGAGAAAAGGATGGCAAGAGGAATGGGAGGTGGTGGCAGGGGGCGGCTGGCTGGCATATGCCGTGGCATCGAGGGGGCTCCTTGTGAAAGGCTGAGTCGTTGTGGTGCTTGTGTCCCTGCCAGAAATGTCAGTCTTATCTGTTTTGGAAAGCACTGCTGCTTCTGGGCAGCCAAAGGAGTGATGCAGAAGGCTGGGGCTCTTAAGACAATGCTGATGTGTGCAGTGGGGGCTGCTTTGGGTGTTTGATCCAGAGATGGGGGGAATGTTTTCCACTGTTGTGTCCCCATGTCTTCCTGGTGTGGTCCTGTCTCTGTGCAGGAAGGATCCTGATGGATGAGGACCTGGAGAGGATTGTTTTTGTGGCTAACCTGGGCATGATTCCTCCCCTGGAAAGCATCTCCATCTTCATCAGCACCTCCTCTGAGCTGCAGACTACTCCCAGTGGGGCTGTGAGGGTCCTTCTGCCAGCTGTGTGTGTCCCCAGGGTCCCCCAGCCCAGCCTGGAGAATGCCAGCAGCCCTTCCAGCCACCAGCTCCAAACGTACGGAAAACCATGGGTGGGCTCTGGCTGGGACTGATCCAGGGGGATGCAGGTCTGGCCAAGGAGGACTTTGTTGTCACTCTGGGAGGCTGGAGAGCTGCTGCAAGCTCTTCCTCTGGCAAACCTCTATCCTGGGGGGATAGAACTTGTTCACAGGGTTTATTTGGGCTCATCTCACTGGCAGGGACAAGCAGCACTGTGGATCAGGGAGCCCGGATCAAGGGAGCAGGTTCTGCCTGGCTCAGCTGCTGGAGAGTGAGGACACCAACCCCTTCGAGTACGAGTTCAGCTTCCACCTGGAGATTCGGGGGCCGTGCCTGCTGGCAGGTAGGAACACCAGTGCCATCCTGCTGCACTGGGATGGTCTATCACCTCCTCAAGGCAACATCCACACTCTTCCTCCTTCACTGCCCCTCAGTGTGGGATCTATTTTGACAAGTTAGCTCTGCTGAGGTGGATTTACCAGCACAGGGCTGATGCCAACACGGGTTCCTGTCCTCTGCCGCCCTGTCATCTCTTCTCCCTGGTCTTCCCAACCCTCAAACCCCAACGGCACCTTGGTTTTCCTGGGCAGGCGTCGAGAGCCCCACCCATGAGATCCGAGCAGACGCCGACCCCTCGGCTCGCTCCGCCAGGAGCATCGTGATCACCCTGGCCAACAAACACACCTTCGACAGACCCGTGGAGATCCTCATCCATCCCAGCGGTAGGTGGGCTCTGCTTCCTCCCTGCTGGTCTTGCCCCTTCCTGGGATCCTCGTCCGTAGCTGGGTTAGCGCTGGTTTTGTGAATATTGTCAGGGTTAGGCTTCCTTAGGAGGTAATTCCAGACTCTCTCAAGGTATTCAGTGCTCCCCAAGCTCAAAGATGTTGCTGTTTTCCCAGGCTGCATCTCTGCCAAACGCAAAGTTTAGCCAAGGCTGTTCTTCACTCAATTCTTTGCCTTTCCAGAGCCCCACATGCCTCACATCTTAATGGAGGAAGGTGACATGACACCTGCAGAGTACGAACGACACCTGAAGGGGAAGAATGATTTCATTAAAGGCACTAAGAAAGACCCCAGTGCCGAGAAAAAGGTGAGAAACAAAAGCTGCAGGTGTTAGCTGAGGCTTTCCCTGGACTGGAGCTGAGCTAGCAAATGATTCCTTGTTGCCAGCACCACTTATTACACTGTCCCTGTAAGCTCTGCAAGATCCTCCTTCGGAGAGGGGCTTGTGTGAAGGAAGAGGGGAAAATTCAGCAGTGCTGCTGATAAACTGAGTGTGGAAGGAGCTCTGAGATGGTTATTGTGTGTATAATTAGTGCTAGTCTAGCATAGCATAATTAGAGAGGTGCATTGTGATAGCATTAAGGGTATTATAATTATTGCAATGACACAGAATAAAATATTCTTTTAATTGCTCAGTAAATGTTTACTGTTTCTGGTTATCTGTCAGAGAGAAAGAAGTGATTTTGCTTGGAATAATGAGCTGAACTGGAGACAAGGTAGGAGAAACTTCTCTTTGTTCTGCTGAGCAGCAAAGAGAAAAATATCTGCGCTGGGATTTGTGCCTTGTCTTCCAGCAGTTCTGAAGGAATGAGTGACAGCCCAGAACCTCAGCGTGTCTGGGAGCAGTTCAGGGCCCTCTGAGTTTCCAGGGTGGGCGTCTTCCCCTAAGGCACAGGTTGTGCTTGTGTGACCACAGCCTGGGGCTGAAGGTGTCAGCGCCTGTTTTACACACACCAGAGCTCTCTGTGCGCCCAGAGATGCTCATTTCTCCCTAATCTCCTTCTCCACATGCCTGATCCTGGGCCCTGCTTGGCAGAAATCCTGGACCTGCTGCAGGGATGGCTCCCTGTGCTCCTGTGACTTCTTCTGTCACCAGAAACCTGTCAACCTTCCTCTCCTTCCCTTTGCCCTCCACTCCCTCTCACAGGGCTGGGGCTGCGTGTGCTCCTCTAATTGTGTTGAGTGTGGAACGAGCTGGAACTCCCACGCTACGCCTTGGATGCTCCCTAATTATTCCTCTGTCTTTAGCACGTCAAATTATCTAAGGGGGGATCATTTCCCTGCAGGAAACCCATCTGTTCCTCAAGAGGGCTGGGAAACAACTGTAGGGAGCAGAGGAAATGCCCAAAATGTCTGGAGTGGATGATGGACTGGAATTGCTGCTCAGAGCAGGACACTGGGCACCTCTCAGCTTAAATTAAATTAGCCCAGAAATTTCAGCAGTAGATGATAATTAATTTTCCTCCTCTGGTTTGTTGTGCAAAAGGCTTGGATGCTGTCAGCTGCAGGGTGGTGGGGATGGATGCACACTGGAATCAACTCTCCTCAATATGATCTGATTAGTTTACTGTAATTGGATAATGGGTGGAGGGGAACGAAAGAGAGGTGAGGAGGAGATGTCTTCTTTCTGGTTGACTTGTAGGAGCAGCTCTGAAGCTGTTTTCTAAAGGCTTGCCTGTTAAATTCCCTCCAAAGTCAGTGAGAAATCCCAAAATATGGGCTTAGCCCAAGCACACAGGGATTTTATGTCATGGATCTCCAAGAGCATCGGAGGGAGTGCTGTAGGTAGGTTAGGACCACAATTCAGTCCTTGGACAAAGGCAGCAAGGATCCCCCTGGTCTGAAATGTGATAAACCAGAAATGATGACATATGGCTGAAGGAAAATGAGGATAGAAAAAGCTCTTTGATTTCCCCATGTCTGATTAATTTATACTCCAAAGTACGAGAGGACGAGCGAGAGCTGAGGTGGCAGCGAGGTGCTTGTTCCTGTGAGTGAGACCCGTCTTTTCACAGGGTCAGAGCAGCAGCACTGGGGCAGCAGAGCTGAAAGCAGAGCTCTTGCAAGTGTTGATCCACAGGGACTCTTGAGTTAGCGAGTTACATAAAATAAAGGTTGGTCGTTGGGTCGTAGATCGAGGAATATGACTCATGGCCAGGGAAAACAAACCTGGTTATCTGGGGTCTGATTAACTGCCGGTGAAACCAAGGAGAAGAGCAGTCAGAAAGAGGAGAAAACAGGCAAATAAAAAAAGCTGAGGACTGAGCTGTTGTTGTGGAGCGTGTTTGCACCCTCAGACCCAGGGGTGATGTGGGGTGGCCGAGCTCCCTCGAGAGCAGCTGAGGCCGTGAACCCACGACAGCTTGATACACATGTAATAGCACATTATAAACCCATCACGAGGTGTTTCCACCAGTTTAATTTTATCCCATTTGTCATGAATACTTGAAATAGAAGGAGGGAAAATGCAGAGCCATTAGAGCTGTGTGCAGTGCAGAGACAGATCATGCGGGTTCCATTGAACGGTGGCCACAATGACCGGTTTGACTCTCCAAAGCCTTTCAGTCCCTACAAAGAAAAGTGATAAAAGAGCTGGGCAGAAAAAGCAGCAAACCAGAGGCAGCAGGAATGAACTGAAGCAGTGAACACAGCACACCAGCTGTATCTCTTGCTTCATTAGTGAGTGACCATGGAGGAAAAACTCCGGTGTGCCTCGGTGGGATGCGAGGCTGGGCTAATGAACCAGGTTCTCGGGAAGGATCTAATGAAATGTTTGCAGAGTTGGTTTTGCAAGGTGCTGCGTAGGGCCAGGTCTTTTGATTTCTCCTCCAGGTTCTCATCCGAGCGTGCAGCTGCTCTGTAGAATTCCAGAATGGTTTGGGTGGAAAGGGACCTTAAAGACAATCCCATTCCACCACCACCCCCCCATAGGCAAAGACAACTTCCACCAGACCATATTGCTCCAAGCCCTGTCCAACCTGGCTTTGAACATTTCCAGGGATGGTGAATGCTTTTGTACGTGCCATGGGCCCTGATTTAGGCTTTCTGCCAGCTGTTGTCCCCTGAGCAACTGAGGAGGCAGGAATTCCATTTACCCACGGAGCAGCTCCCCTGGAGGTACGAACAGAACAACTTCAGTGCACCCTGAGCCTTGGTGTTGTCACCTCTGAGGCCAGAACAAGCAGATTCTGGCCTGCAGAAGGCCACACACTTACATTTGCAGGCACACAGCCCTACTCTGATTCTAGTGCAAGTGAAATGGGGCAGAAAAATCAACCTCTTGATCTTTGTCCTTCCTTCTTGCAGACAGAAATCATCAGGAAGCGGCTGAACAAGGACATCCTCCACCACCCCATCATCATGCTCAACTTCTGCCCTGACTTGAGGACTGTTCAGCCAGGCCTTCAGAATGCCCAAGGCGAGTTTATCTTCCTCATAGACCGGAGCAGGAGCATGAGCAGCGGGAACATCAACCGTGTCAAGGTACCTGCGGGAGGGGAAGCACCTGCATGTCAACAAAGGATGAATTTTAGAGAGCAGTGGGGGTGCTGAGTGCTGAGGAGTGTTCATTATGAGGGGATGGGGGGTAATTATACGCTGTAGCTTTAGTCATCTCAACCATGGGGCTTGTCAGGTACCTGCAGCAAAGCTCGAAGCTCATTTTCCTGTTCTCTTCCTCATCTTCCTATCAGCACATCAAATGCAAAGTTGTTTTCTTTCCCTCTCTTGCTGGCATGTTTTGTGCATCCCTTCTCCAGTTCTCCCTGTCTCCAGGAGGGCTTTGGGTGATTTCTGTCTAGGGGACAACCCTCCAGGGTGCTCCAAGGGGAGCGACGTGCTGACCATGCGTTAGGAGATGTTTTGCTGAGGGGCACCTCTTGCACCCCATGAAACATCCCTTTTCCAGACACAAATCAACAGCAGCAGCCTGGTGGAGGGTTATGGGAGATGTGCTGAGACCTCTGGATAAAAAGGGGCCTGGAGAAAGGCTTTGTCAAGATGTTTTGTGGGTCTGAGGTTCCCCTGTCAGATGTGACCCTTTATCCCGCACCAACCCCAGTGCAGGACCGTGCACTTGGTCTGTTCAACCTCATGAGCTTCACACAGACCCACTTCTTGAGCTTGTCCATCTTTTAACACATCTCCTTTCCCATCTGTCTCTGGTTTCCATGGGAACTGCTGGAGGACAGACACCTCCGGCAACAAGGATTGGGATGCTGGGGAGCCTGAGGATGGCTGCAGCAGGTCCCCTGGGACAGGGAGGCTATTCCCAAGGGGATCAGGATATCTCTGAGTTGTACCCCCTTCCCTCAGGACCTTTAGGAATCTGGGAATCTCTGCCCCATTCCAGATTTTTGCCTTCCAGCTCACAGCATGGCTGGGTTAGGGCACCACAGTCTCTGCAGACTCCATGAAAGCTGGTTTGTCCCATGGGGATGGAGACCCTTGCAGGGACAGACCCCTTCTCTGGGAGGTCCTGAGCTGGGACTCCCACTGCAGAAGTGCTGTAAGAACAGAAAAAAGAAAATATATTTCGTTGGAGACAGTGGAAATTTCAGAGGAGATGCCTCAAGGGAGAAACCCACTGTCCTTCTTTTGAGTCTCCCATCCTTGTTTGTCACTTGCAAACAAAAGCCCCTCGCAAGGAAGGGCTCTTCTTAGTGGGTTTGGGTGGGTTTTGCTTGATGGAAACTTCTGCATCATCCTCAGATGGCTGGATGAGTGAGGTGACAGGGCTTGGAGCTGTGCAGCCACAGGGATGCACAAAGGGATGAGATGGGATGGCTCAAGTGGAGCAGGAGGGCATCTGGCCAAAGCAGCTGGGGTGGAAAGTTCAGAGGCTTAAATTCCCTGCAGCCAGTCCCTTTCCCATCCTGATGCAGCCAGGGAGAAGAGCCAGGCTGTGATGGTACATCGAGCTTGCTGGCAAAACTGCACTAATAACTGGGAATTGACTTTTCTGGAAGCAAACATCCCTCCTTACTGAGTTGCCGTATAGATATTGAGTGCAACAGGATCAAGATCAATATTTACCATAAGAAGCAATAAATCTTCCTGGTTGCTGAAACAGCAACCAGGCATCGGTTGCCCGCTTTGGGAAGTGCTTTAACAGAAACATTTGGAAATTTGTATTTTTTTTTCCCTTGTAATTAGTTCCAAGATGGGATGTCAGCGTCGAGATCTGGAAGAGCCAGCATCCCAGGAGCCATCTGGGAGCAGTGGTATAAATACACCCTCGTAGGTTTGAGATAACAGCTTGGATTAAAGCACTCCAGAGCTTGTTAAAGGGCAGCCCTGTTCTTGTATTCCCCTGATTTTCAGTGCTCCAGCTCTGCCGTGCTGAGTCTTGCAGGAGCTGGGAGCTGGGCTGACCTGGCACCACGTCCCTGGTGGTCTCAGGCGGGTTCTCTGGGTACCCTCTGTGGTCACTCGGTCTTTGCCACTGCACAGGCCAACACAAGGTGGCTGTTCCTGCTCATTTGACCTTGGCAGCTCCTCCTGGGACTGGCTCTAGGGTTTCTGCTGCCCTCGGCAGACTGGCAGGAGTCTGCCTTGATCAGCATTTAAAAAGAACCAAGCTGCTCTTGAACGCTTTGCTTTACATTTTGCTTTAAATAAACATTTTGCTTTAAATTGGCTTCCTCTCCTGACACATAATTGCTCCTCCAAGCTCAAGAGCATCTTGGGCAGCTCTTGCCCAGTTGCTGCTCTCAAAAGCTCTGTCCTGGAGTTGTCCATGACCATCACAAATGTCTGTGACAATTCAATTTGCTCTTCCCTTATGTAAAGCCCAGGAATAGGCACGTTAGATAACCACCTCTGGTAAAGAAAATAGCTTTAAACTGTTGTCTCCCAGCTATTTTAATTGAAGCCAGCTATGAATACAAGAGAATTGGGGATGGGGGAGGCTTTTCCTTTTGTGTAACTTCGAGCTGTTTGTTTATTTTCTGCAAGTTTGGGCATTGAGATGCATTGCGTGTCGCACTTCTCAATTTCACACTCTGCTTCTCACCCACCAGCTCGGTGCTGCAGCACCCGGTGTTGCCAGCACAAATTGAATCCCTTAAAAACAAACACAAAAATTTGTTCAGCTCTTTGTTGGTCTTTTTTTTTTTTTTTTTTTTCCCCAACTCCCCATTTTCCTCACCGCTTTGGGTCCCAAATACCACTCTGCTTCTCACCCACCAGCTCGGTGCTGCAGCACCCGGTGTTGCCAGCACAAATTGAATCCCTTAAAAACAAACACAAAAATTTGTTCAGCTCTTTGTTGGTCTTTTTTTTTTTTTTTTTCCCCAAAGACTCCCCATTTTCCTCACCGCTTTGGGTCCCAAATACCACTCAGGGCCTTCGGAAAGAGCAGCGTCCCCGTTGCAGTGCATGGGAAAGAAACAGTTGGTTTTCTGGCAAATGCAGGTGGGAATAAGGTGGGATGGCTCCAGGCAGAGCTTTTGCTGGTGAAGCTGTGGCAGCCAGAGAGAGTCCTGGGGTGATGATTGTTTGCTTTCCACCCCAGGATGCCCTGTTGGTCATTCTCAAGAGCCTGATGCCAACGTGTCTCTTCAACATCATCGGGTTTGGATCCACCTTTAAGACCCTCTTTCCTGCCAGTCAGGCCTATTGTGAGGTGGGTGAACCCACATTTCACAGAATCACAGACTCACAGACTGGTATAGGTTGGACGGGACCTTAAAGCTCATCCCATTCCACCCCCTGCCATGGGCAGGGACACCTTCCTCTAGCCCAGGTTGCTCCAAGCCCCATCCAACCTGGCCTTGGACACTTCCAGGGATGGGGCAGTCACAGCTCCTCCGGGCAACCTGTGCCAGGGCCTCCTCACCCTCAAGGGAAGAATTTCTTCCTAATATCTAATCCAAACCTACCCTTCTTCAGCTTAAGGCCATTCCCCCTTGTTCTGTCACTACATGCCCTTGTAAAAGGTCCCTCTCCAGCTCTCTTGGAGCCTCTTTAGGTACTGGAAGGGGCTCTGAAGTCTCCCCAGAGCCTTGTCTTCCCCAGTCCAACTCCCTCAGCCTGTCTCCACAGCAGAGGTGCTCCTTGGTGCTTGGAGGGAGCTGGTGCTGACAATTCCACTGCTCCTTTGGGCAGGAGAGCCTGGCCCTGGCCTGCAAGAGCATCAGGAGAATCCGTGCTGATATGGGCAGCACCAACATCTTGTCCCCTCTGAAGTGGGTCATCCGTCAGCCCATCCACAGGGGCCACCCCCGACTGCTCTTCCTGCTGACAGACGGGGCCATCAGCAACACGGGGAAGGTTCTGGAGCTGCTGAGGAACCACTCCTGCTCCACCAGGTACAGAGGGATCACCCCCGTGGGGCCACAATCCCGGCACAGGGAGGGATGTGCTTCTCCTTGGACACAGCCCCATCTCGCACACGTCCCCACTTCAGAGGCACAGGCAGGAGAGATTGCTGCTGTGAGCCATGGGAGAACCTCAAAGGGTTTGGAACAGATCCCAGAAGTTCAGATGCTTTTTAAACAATCAAAAGCAGGATAATTGAGCTGACAACTTCACAGCTCTTGTCTGATGCTTCCTGCTAGGAGAGATTGACATGCCAACAATCTTCCTTGCCTTTTTTTGTTTTTAATTTTTTTTTTAAAGCACATCTGGGGCTGGCCCCAGCTGCTTCCAGGATGGGGCTGTGCAGAATTGAATGTGCTGAAAGGGAGCAATGTAAAAAGCAGCTAATTTGTGCCTCGAGCTCCCAGCCTGGCTTCCCAGCCCTGATCACAGGCTGTTCTGGTTTCTCCTCTGCTTCTTTAAGGGACACAAAACGTAAGAAAAATGTAAGAAATCCTCATTCCTCTTCCATCCCTCAGACTTCACAGCTTAGCAGGGAAGCTGCTCTGTGGGTTTTTAGCTACATGGAGGTCTAATTGCTTCCCAGCTGTACAGGGCATCCCATCCCTCGCTCTTACAGAGGCGTGGGATAAATGTGATCAGCATTAGAGTGTGGTCTCAGGTGACCCTGGAAGGCAGGATCATGTGCATGGCCCATCTCAAAAGAAGATCAGAGCCTTATCTGAGAGGGGTATGAGGCTGGCCTAGGATTTGCAGCCATCTGAGGATTAAAACCCCCTAAGAGAAAAGCCCCTCGTGTGGATGCAATTTGCTGCTGAAGGTGGTTTCTCTCTCAGTGATCCACTGCCCTGACCAAATGCCATATCCCACCCATCCCCATCCTTCTGGCTTCCTGCCACATCCATCCCCACCAGGCACTGCCATTCCTGCCTGGACTGCAGCTCAACTTCCAGCCTTCAGCCCAAACCGAATCCTGATTCACAGAGCTGGGAGTCAGGGGAGCAGCTCCTCCTTCCTTGAGAAAACGTTTATTGTGATCGTGAGCAGAGATAATTACTGGATCTTTAGTGCTATTGACCACAGACAGCAGGGAAAAGAGGTGAACTGGCAGCAAAGCAGCTTGTTTGTGTTTGCAGAGGAGGGCAGGGCTCGGGGTCCTGCTGGGAAGCCCCTGAGTGTCACCCCTGAAGGCTGGTCTTTGGGGAAGGGGTTTGAGGTCTGCTGAGAGGAGGGGGCTGGTGGTTCATAGAATCCCAGAATGGTTTTGGTGGGAAAGGACCTTAAACCTCATCTCCTTCCACTCCCTGCCATGGGCAGGGACACCTTCCACCAGACCAGGTTGCTCCAAGCCCTGTCCAACCTGGCTTTGGACACTTCCAGGGACAGGGCAGTCACAGCTTCACCACCCTCACAGGGAAGAATTCCTTCCCAATATCCCCTCTAACCCTGCCCTCTGTCAGTTTGAAGCCATTCCCCCTTTTCTGGTCACTCCAGGCCCTCATCCAAAGTCCCCCTGCAGCTCTTTTGGAGTTCCTGTAGGCACTGGAAGGTTTCTCACCCTCCTGCCAGCCACCTCTACGAGGAGCTGGTTTGATTTCCTCTGGCCATAGCAGCGGGATAAAGCTGGAGGGGATCTTCTGCCTGCAGGGAGTGGATGAGGTGCGTGGGGCTGAGGGAAATGTCTTGTCCCCTGGATTTTGATTCTCCCTCTCCCTTTGCAGGTGCTACAGCTTCGGCATCGGGCCAAACGCCTGCAGGAGGCTGGTCCGGGGTCTGGCTGCCGTGTCCAGGGGCACTGCCGAGTTCCTGGCGGAGGGAGAGAGGCTGCAGCCCAAGGTACAACCCCTCACTCCCCAGGGACCGCCCCAGGAGGCTCTAACGATGCTCTGGTTCAGCGAGGGGGGAGGCCACGGCTCATAGCGGGTTTATTCCCCATCCCTGGTGCTGCCTTTCCACCTCCCCCCCCCGGCAGCAGGTGGGCGAGGCGGGAGGGGATGAAGGAGCATCTCCATCTCCGGCTGTCGGAGGGAGTGGGAGGGTGTGTTTACCCTCTGCGTGGGGCTGGGGAAACGCGATAGCCGCGATACAGCAGCTCTGGCTTCAAAGGCGGCTGCTGCCTCACACACCGGCGAGGGCAGAGGGACCGGCATCAGAGCAGCCAATTAGTTTTGAAGTCAGGCTCAGCCCGGGCTTTGCTCAGGCGAGAAGGACCCGGGGTTTGAGGGAGAGGAATGCGCCGCGATAGCTTTGCACATTAAGCCGGCTTTAAAGCCTGCTCATTTCCACTCTCCCCGTGAAGAGCAAATCCATGTGCCTCGAATTCAGCTCTGTCCCCTGGTGAAAGCACAGTGCCCAGCTTGTCGCCCGCTGCATGACTAGACCCAGAGGGAATTGGGTCTTTAGCTCCTAAATATCTCTAAAAAGCCAGCTCCTGCCTTCTTGATTTGAAAATGAGGAGTTCAGCAACCCCCACGTCTGCAGGAACCTGGAGCACACAAAAAGCTCTGTAAGACAGAATGGCATCAACATTTCTGATGTAAATTAAAAGCAAAGACAGTGAAGAGAGAGGGTTTTTATCGAGCTATTAATAAGAGCTTTGCAGGCTGTGCAGCTCTGTGCCTTCAGCAGTCTGAGGCATCAATTAATGGCCTTATAAAGCACAGCCTTGTGTGTCTTCCCAAGCCTGTGAAAAAAAAACAAGGAACAACAGGGAATATTCGAGCTGTTCTGCCTCAAAATCCGGTGTTCACTTCCCCTGGTGTGCAGAGAAGCTCATGTGGATGGCTCCCTGATAGGTTTGTCCATGAGCTATTCACGGATGTTGGTCTTCTCCACATGTATGACTGGCAGAGCATTGCTGATCTCCGGCAGTGGCTTGTGCCAGCAAGGAGCTGTTCCAAAAATATTGGTGCTGTCACTCTGCGTGTGAATGCCATGGCTCGGGACAGGGATGGGGCTTGGACAAGTGAAGATCAACAGCTTTTCCTGGGTGCTGGGTGGGAGCAGGGGATGCTGCAAGATACTTCTGGCCACAAGCTCCCACCTTGCTCTGAGCCGGCAGCACATGCAGGATGAGCCCCGTGTTCCATCAATACCTACCCCTGGTAAAGAACCATGGAATCACAAAGTCATCTAGGTAGGAAAAGACCTGTAAGATCGTTGAGTCCAACCATGAACCCAGCACTGCCAAGTGTGACCGTGCTGAGGGGCTGGGGGTGCTGGGAGGGGCATGGAGTAGAGTAAGAGGGAGCAGGCTGCCAGGAGAGGGTAGCAATCAGTTGATGGATTTGTTTGAAGAAATCTTCCCCTTCCCTGCAGCACACAGCAGGTGCACCATGGCACACACAGCATGCAGCTGCTTGTTTCCCCTCTCCCCTCTGCTCCCTGCCTCAGATGATCAGGTGTCTGAAGAAGGCGATGGCGCCGGTCCTGAGCGACGTGTCCGTGGAGTGGGTCTTCCCCGAGAGCACCAAGGTCTTGGTTTCCCCTGTCAGCACCAGCTGCCTCTTCCCTGGTGACCACTTGGTTGGCTATGGCGTCATCTGTGATACCTCCCTGTACCTCTCCAACCCCAGATCCGTGAGTCCATGGGGCTGTCCCACGAGTGTGGGGCTGCCCTGGAGGTGAGGGGTGTTGGGGTCTGTGTACACGAGTGTCTCAGCTCTGCACATGGCCAGGAGGTGTTTCCTTCTTCCTGACCCTGTCCTTAAGAGAGGTGGTGGATGAGACTTTGGGGAGCAGTAGTGGATAAGGGTGCTGGTGCCCAGGGGCTGGGATCTGGCTGATGGATGCGCTGGTGGGACCTGTTCCCTCTCTCTGCTTTCCCACAGGACAAGCGGCGGTGTTACAGCACGATGCGTTCCCAGGAGTCGGGCAGCTCTGTCTTCTTTCACTCCCAGGAGGAGGGAGCAGACGTGGACAGCTGGAATCACTCCAGAGACTCGGAGGGCTCCTGCCCTGCCGAGCGCTCCCCCGACCACCGGGGGGTGGGCAGAGATCCCGGGGGAGAGTCGGACACGGACACGGGTCAGAGTTCCCTCTGTACACGCGTGGGTGTGATGGCCCTGTCTCCCTAATCAAGCTCCTGTCGCTGCTTCCCAGATTTGCTTCCCTGATAAATAAGTGTCTTCAGCTACAAAGAGCCAGAGGAGTTTGCAGGAGGGATGACAGATCTCCTGGGGCTTGAGCGAGTCTGTTTGGTTTGGATGTTTTATCCAAACCTGTCAGGAAATCAAGGGAAGCCCTGGAGAGCTGGATACCCTGGAGATTTTCAAAGCTTTGGCTTTGACCACATAATTATTTACAAGCTTCCCAAGAAGTGTGTGAAGGAGTGCAGTGAGCAAATGGGTAGCTCTGCTAGAGCATCCCTGCACCTGCAAAACATCTTCCCAGTCAGGACAGGGGGGGAATGGATCCCAAGCCCTGTCCCCAGGGTGTCCCCCCTCCCCACCGTGGTTTGAGTGGGTGTTTGTGTCAGCAGCATTTGGCATAAAGCAGCTGGGGAAACCTTTGTTACTCACGGGATGTTATTCCCTTATATTTTGAGAGGAGCTGTGCTGTGCATCCCCTCAAACTTGTCAAAAGCAATGAGAAATCATGTCTTTCCAAGGCAAATTTTACTCTTGCTCTGACAGGAGAATGTCTGCACTAATTAAATTTCATTAGTAAACCCTTTGTCTTCTCCAGGGAGGCTTGGGGAAATGCAGTCAGGCTTCTTCTGTCTGAAAACTGCTCAGACGAAACCTCCCCAACCTGCTCTCTCAACATCCACAGGAATTTTGAGTGTTCCCATTTCCTTTTGTGGTTTCATTAAAACTTTGCAGGGCTGAGGGTGGCCCCCTCAGTCCCGGGAGGACCCTGGGGTGGGCCCCCTGCCTCCCACCATGAGCCAAGGGGGGATGGCACCGGCTGATCCCGCTCTGGAGCAGAGCTGATCCTCTCTCCCACATTCAGGAATGGATGTGAAGGGTTCCTCCAGGAGACGAGCATACAGCACCACCCAAATCGCTGACCACAAGCCTGGCAGGAAGGTGCCCACGGCCAGTGATCCCAGCACAGCCCTGGTGAAAAACCCCCTTCGGAAAACCCACCTGCAGGACCTGCAGCAGGTCAGCCCCGACCCCTGGCAGGTGGATTTCCAGGTAGGTGATCCCTGGAGAGGGTTTACCTGCAGGTGGAAGCCAGCAAGGAGCAGCAGGAAACTATCAGAGCCAGGGAAAGGGTGTGGCTCACACTAATCCTAAAATATAGATATAGATAATAGATACAGTTCTGCAGCATGTCACATGTGGGAAACGAGCCAAGCAGAGAGCAAAGTGCCATCCTGATATCCCACAGCAGTCCCTCCCCGTGGGAGCCCAGCTTTGCCCTGCTAAATTCCTCTCCCCTCACCCTGAGTGGCCTGTGCTTCACCTTGCTGCTCCTCTGCTCCTTCTTATCTCCCTGCAATTTGGGATTCAAACTCACTGCAAGGCTGTGGCACTTCTGTGCCTTGCAGGGAAAAGGAACTCAGTGCCAAAACAGATTCCCAGCTGGATCCACAGCCTTATGCAGCTTTAGGGTGAGATGTGGACCTGTGTGATGATACATCTGCTGAACAGGGTTATGTCCCCTGCCCACAGCAGGTGGAATTTGGGAAGATTTTACAACTGATCTATGGGAAGGGTGGGGATGGTTTTCTCCCATCCTTGGCATCACTGGGATGCTCTGCTCTGCAATCAGCATCTGCAGGGCTGGAAAGACCAGCAGCACTTTTAGTTCCCATGGAAACTCAGAGTGAGGGATGTTTGGGGCTTTCTTTTCCCTTATGCTGCAGGTTAGAGATCGCTGGGAGAGGGGTGGGAGGTGAGATCAGGGGGTGAAGGGGAAGCAGGGCCAGTGCTCCACAGGGAGGGATGAGACCTCTGCCTTCCAGCTGCAGCAGGGAGGGTGGTGAACGTGAGCAGTGGTAGGTTTTAGGGGTACCAGTAATCTTCCCTGTACTGGAAAGGTCCACAGAGCATCCTCCTGCTCATGGGACGCTCAGTGCGAGGGCAGGGATGGAAACGACTCCCCTCTGGAGGGCAGCAAATGGTTAACAGCATCCATCCTGCTCTTCATTAAATTCGGCCTGCTTTTGCTCTCCCTCCTGCTGCCAGGGCTCCCAGCAGCTCTCCCAGCTCCCAGTCCTGCTGCCAGGGCTTGACATTTTCGGGGGTGTGAAGGCAAGCCCTCAGCTCACCTCCACACGCACCGTGCTGGGAAGGAAAGGTCAGTGCCAGCAATGGGCAGCCTAAACCCCCAGCTCTATTCCCAGCTGGCTTCCTCTGGCTGGGAGGAGAGCTCAGGCAGGAGAAGGAGCAGGTTTTGAATGGAAAGGGTCTGGCAGGGGCTTCTTTGAGCAGTTTGCTTTTAAATATCTCAATATTAGCTTGGTAAGTAGCTCCTGGAGCTGTCAGCCTCCCATTTTTGCTGGTGGACTCATAGAGCACCAAAAATTATGTGGTGATGGAGGTCATGTATCATCCAGAGAAAATATTCTTTCATCCAGCATGGAGGTCCACCACTTTCTACCATCTCCGTCCATCACTGGGGTTGTGCTAGGAAAACAGAGTCTGTCAGTTTTAGGGGACCTTCCCACAGCCCTGGGGACAAGAATAAAACCCAGAGCTTGCAGAGGGGAACATCTGTGTGGGATGTGACACCAGAGGTGCTGGAGTGGGGGATTCATGTCTCCTGAAAGTGGAGAAATAGACTCATTAAAAAAAAAAAAAAAAGATAAAAATTCCCTTCTCCCATCCCCTGCTCCTCTCTCCTTTCGTTACTAAGCAACTGGTCCTTGATCTTTCTGTCTCTCTTCTTTCCTTTGGTTCCCAAGTGAAGTCATTAAAATGTCTGGAGGGATGAAAATCATATTTCACCTTCTGCATGTCTGGGGAAGGAGCCCCTGGGGCCAGGGTCCCTTGGGGACGGACACACTGCAGGTCTGATGGAGGGCTCTGGGCACGAATTCCAGCCAGGGGTGGGCAGAGAGGGAAGGACTTGTGTGTGTGCAGGATGGCATCCCATGCTGGGGTCGGGCAGGGAGCAGGTGGGATCAGAAGGGACAGAGCAGGTCCATGCAGGGATCAGGGAGGACAGAGCAGGTCCATGCAAGGACCAGGAAGGACAGAGCAGGTCTATGCAAGGACCAGGGAGGACAGAGCAGGTCCATGCAAGGACTAGGGAGGACAGAGCAGGTCTATGCAGGGATCAGGGAGGACAGAGCAGGTCTATGCAAGGACCAGGGAGGACAGAGCAGGTCCATGCCAGGGATCAGAGAGAACAGAGCAGATCCTGCCATCAGCTGCAGCTGATCCAGCCCTAACATCTGCTCTGCTCTCAGCCCTTCCCAGCCAGCCCTCATGGCTCTGCCACCAGGATCCGTGGCACAGGTGCCAGGCGCCCATCCCTGCTCCACCACGGCTGTGTGTCCTTCTGCCACGACGCCAACTCCCCGCCAGTGCTGGACGGGCTGCAGCAGACTCCAGGAAGGGGCTTTGAAGCACTTGATGCCAGTGTGAGCCTGCGGTCCTCGTCGGACAGCCGGAGCCCTGGGGACCCGGGTAACTGGCGGAGCAGAAGGGCTGGCGTTGCGCTGCGTGCCACCGGGCGAAAATTAGGGAGGATTAATTATGGTTTCCTGGTGGCAGTGGGGAATTCAGCTCCCGGGGATGTGATTAATGATCTGCCTCTCCCCTCTCCGCAGAGTCTGCCCAGCATCCATCCCTCACATTCGAGACGGAGACCTCCTCTGAATGGGAGCCACAGGACCTGGACATCAGCGCTGCCTGCGGCTCCCCCAGGACCCTCTGCAAGGCGGTGGTGAAGGGGCTGAGGAACAACGAGCCCGTGCAGTGGGAAGTTCCCTTTGATATCCGCCCTCTCCTCCGGGAGCGGGAGAGCCAGGGGAACGGGGACACAGACCTGTGGAGTGAGACCTTCCACCACCTGGCAGCCAAGTCGGTCATCCGGGACTTTGAGCAGCTCGCCGAGAAGGAGTGTGAAATCGAGCACGGTAACACAGTGCTGGCTGCAGGCACACCCTGCCCGGCATCTGGGGGGCTTTCCAGCAGCCTCAGGAATTAAAGCAAGAGCTGGAAGTGGTGAAATATTAGGGAATGTCTCACACAGCTCCCAAATGATAGCTCCCTCCAGCTGCCTTGTGTTTTTCTCCTGCTTCTGCACATCAGCACGCCTGAGCTTGTGCTCCTTCACACTCCTCAGGAGCGGGGCTCAATGATCCTTGTGGGTCCCTTCCAACTCGGTATATTCCATGATTCTACGATTCCTCTGCTTCATGCATCAGGTAGCGAGGTTATTTTTAAGGAGCTGGGAGGAGGCATCAAACTCTGAGGATCCAGCAGCAGCCACACATCAGTGCTCTGGGCTGGACATCCCTGGGTCTTGTCAAACTTCTCCTCCATGAAGTGTATCTGGGCACGTAAAATAAGAGCAGAAGAAGCATTTTAGGCAGAGTTTAGAGCAGTACAGGGATACAGTCTCTGCTGGGTCTGGGAGCTGGGTTCAAGGTGTGGCCTGGACTCTGAGCCTGGTGTCCCTCCCTGGCAGGGTCCGGGCGGCGGTACCAGCTCAACGCTGTCCACACCAGCAAGGCCTGTAATGTCATCAGCAAGTACACGGCGTTTGTGCCAGTGGACCTGAGCACGAGCTCCTACCTGCCCACCCTGGTCCAGTACACCCACACAGGTAACGTGGTGTGAAACGTCCTGGGAGGGAGAGTGTCACTGAGAAACCTGGCTCAGGGTAAACCCTGTGAAGCCACAGCTCAGTGCTGCACCAGACTACATACCCGAGGCCATGGCTGAGCTCTTGGTGGTAAGAACCTCTTCCCACGGCCAGGGAAAAGGTCCACTCTTAGGCCTGGATGCCCAAAGATGCCCAGAGAACCACAGAATGGTCTGGTTGGAAAGGACCTTGAAGATCATCAATCCCACCCCCTGCCATGGGCAGGGACACCTCCCACTAGCCCAGGTTGCTCCAAGCCCTGTCCAACCTGGCCTTGGACACTTCCAGGGATGGGGCAGCCACAGCTTCTCTGGGCACCCTGTTCCAGGGCCTCACCACCCTCACAGGGAGGAATTCCTTCCTAATACCTAATCTAAACCTGCTCTCTGTTGGTTTGAAGCCATTCCCCCTTGTCCTGTCACTACAGCTCCTGACCAAACGCATCATCCTGCGGGTTTTGTTGCCATCGTGTGTGTGCCAGTCCCTCTCTAACCCCAGCCATTCCCTCCTCTCGTGCCAAGGGGCAGCATCCAAGCAAGGCAACCAGAGGAGCCTGAGCTCAGGAAACAGAAAGCACCGTGGCCTTTCCCCTGGACGTCCCCAGTCAGCTTGTGGCCAGAATGGAGACAATAGATTTTACAGCACGAGTAAGATTCCCTGGGGTTTTGTCTCCTTCCTGGTGTTACAGATCTCAGTGGTTTGGAACATCTCTGGTCTTTTTTAATTCTGCCTCCTTCTTCGGATGCATTGCTCACCAGACACGTGTCTGGCTGGAGCTCATCTCCTTAAATGGGGAAGAAGCTTCAATTTACCCTGAAACCCTGAAATCACAGGTCATGCTGCTGACAATCCTTGGAAGTTAATTGGCAGCCGTAACAGAGATAACACGGGGGATGAAACGGGCGTAATTAGAGGCAAGGGGATGCGAGACACTTGCTTGTCACCAAATCCTCCACTAATGAAGACGAGTTGGATTGGACCTTGTCTGGCACTGTCAGAGCTGCAGCTGAGTTGACGTGGCCCCGATGAGGCTCGTTGCCCCGATGATGCCGTGGGGAGGGAGAGCGGCGGTGCCGCGGCCACCGCAGCGGGGGCACGACAGGGGTTTCGGCTGGGTGGTGTTCCTGATGTGGTTCCTCCATTCCAGATGCCGAGGAGAGCAGCCTGTCCCCCTCCAGCACCCCTCCCTCCTCTGCCTGGGAGCGTTGCCGTCTCCCTGAAGGTAGGAAGAGAGCTGGTGGCACTTGCCAGGGTGCAGCTGCATCAAGTCCTCTTGGATATTTGGGCTCTTGACCAAATATTTTGCTGAGTTTTGGGGGGTTTTATAAAACTTTACGACCCATTTAGGCTTGTGAACACAAGACCTGACTCTTTTTGGGGTACAAAGGATGGAACCTGATGCAGCTGTTGGTATAAATCTCCCCCAGGCTCATTTTTAAGAGGTGTGGGAGTTTTATTATCCACACAGGAAAAATGAGGCAAGGGGAGGGGAAGGATTTTGCCAAAGACTCAGCAGATGGACAAGCCTGCCCATGTCCCAGGACACTGTGCTCCCTTTCTCCCTCCTGTAGCACATCATTTACCCCCAGCTCTGTTTCTTCCCAGGGCCACTCCAGAGCGTGTCTGCTTCCTCTGCACAAGCCCAAAAATCCATCGAGAGGCTTTTTGCTGCCAGGTATGGACCAGCTCAGCCTTAGCAGGTGCCTTTTACCTCCCTGGGTCTGAAGTGAACACAAGTGAGGGGGAGAGAGAAAGGACGTCCAGGGACAGCAGCCAGAGCTGGGACCCAGCATGATGCCAGTGTCTGGAGACCGGGGAGGGCTTTTGGAGGAGAGGGTGGGAATCAGGAGGAGCATGGAGGTTACAGTCACCTTTTTATCCTCCTCAGGCTGACCCTCAATAAAACCAGGCTGCTGGTTCGAGCTGCCAAAGGGTTCATGAGTAAATCTCCAAACAGAGGGAGCAAAGCCAGCTCTGAGGGTGACAATGAGAGCATGAACTACCTTCCCCTGGTGAGCAGCTCCTTCCTGGGTCTTGTTGGGGTTGCGTGGTCATTGCAGGGGAGCAGAGGGAGGATGCCCCCGGATCTTTCCTCTTGCTGTCTCTGACAACCATGTCCAGTGGTCTGCTCAGAGACAGAGAGCTGCTCCACCCATCCACACCTTTTCCCTGAACTTCCCACAAGTGGTTGGTACCTCAGAGCTTCCCTGTGTGCCCACCATCCCTTGCAGGTGTCCCTGCAGCTGGCCTGTGGTGCCTTTCTCCTGAACTCAGCCTTCTGCAGTGCCGTCAACATCCCCATGGAGAAGCTGAAGTGGACATCACCCTTCACCTGCCACCGCCTGTCCCTCAGCCCCTCCAGCTCCTACAACACCAAGAAGACCAGTCCCTCCATGGAACACAAAAACTTCGGCTCCAGCCAGCAGCTCCTGGTCCCCGAAGGGCACGGGAAGAGTCCCACCAGCAGAGACACCGCTCGGGGGGTGGTGCTGGAAGGCCCCGGCAGCCACACGGAGGACACCGGGCGCCTCCGGCACTCCTCGGGCAGCGCGGTGGAGAGCATCTCCAGAGCCCTGACAGCCGAGAAGGAACTGCCCCCCCCGGCCATCACCATCCGCCGCTTCTCCTCCCCGGAGGGCACGCTGGGCTCGGCCGAGTGGGAAGCCGACAGCGGCTGGGGCTCGGAGGCAGACGGCTCTGAGGTGCAGGCACTGCTCCTCCACGTGGAGCTGCAGCAGCAGACGGAGCCCGAGGGGATGCTCTGGGCCACGGCGGTGGCCCTGGCCTGGCTGGAGCACAGCTCAGCCTCCTACTTCATCGAGTGGGAGCTGGTGGCTGCCAAAGCCAGCCTGTGGCTGAGCGGGCAGGACTTCCCGGAGGGATCCAGCCTGGCCACAGTGAAAGCTGCAGCCCAGCAGCTCTTCGTGCTCCTCCGGCACTGGGATGAAAACCTGGAGTTCAACCTGCTGTGCTACAACCCAGGCAGTGTGTAGAGAGGGTGAGGAGGGAGGCTTGGGTGGATTACTGAGGGTGCAGGAGCAGGGATCAAACCTTAAGGAAACACCTCCAAGCCTTCAAGGAGCTCCTCTGCTGCAGGGCTATGTGTGCTTATTAGAGCAAACCCTGTGAATGGAGCAGTCCAGGCTCCATCCTGCACTCAGCAGTCGGAGTTTTGCCCTGGGAGGGAACCTTCAGCTGCTCTTGCTATTTATTTTCAGCTGGAGCAGCACTTCCAGCTCCAGCAGTTTCCTCTGATCCTGGTTCCTTCTGGTTCCCAGAGCAGATCTTGCTGCCTACTCCACTTGCCCTGTCCGTGCTTGGCTGCCTCTTCCCAGTCCCAAATTGCTGCCAAGCCCCTGCTGCAGCCCCCCAGCCCTGAGTCCCTGCTCTCCTGAGGCTCCTGACTGGCTCCTACCATCTCAGATGGCTTCCAGGGAAGATTAACATCTGACAACATGCTCATCACATGGATCAAAGGGAATCTGGGCTGGGAATGACCATCTGAACAGCAGCCCTGCTGTCACAGCCAGGAGGATCAAGCCCAGCCACGCACCAACAAGCTGAGCCAGAGGGAGAGTGGGACCAAACCCCATCCCATCCACACGGTGCTGGGCTCCCTCAGCCCCCCTGCAGCCCCAGAGGGAGCTTGTGAGACCCCTTGCAGCCAATGTGTGCCTTCAAAGCTTCACAGGCAGAGCAGGGGCACCTGGGGTTGAAGGATCAAGTGCCTATGGAGGGAATCACACGTCTCTGTCTCTGGCATGGCTGCAATGCCCGTGGAGCCCATCCAAAACCTGCTGCCTTTCCCTCCTTTCCTTGGCATGGAGCAGCCTTGCCATGTCCCACCAGGCTTCTGTCTTGTGTCTGCATGTCTGGGGAGCAGATGGGAGGGACAGTGGGGACCCCGAGTACCCCTCTGGTCTCTGCGCTTGGTGTCACCTCTCTGGGGTCCCCAGGAGCTTCCCTCTGGTCTCTGCTCTCAGTGTCAGCTCTCCAGGGTCTCCAGGCAGATCCCTCCAGTCTCTGCTCTGGTGTCACCTCTCCTGGGTTCCCAGGACCATGAACAAACTCTCTGCTGTGGTGTCACCTCTCCGGGGTCCCAAGGAGGATCCCTCTGGTCTCTGTTCTCAGTGTCAGCTCTTCAGGGTCCTCAGGAGGATCCCTCCAGTCTCTGCTCTGGTGTCACCTCTCCAGGTCCCCAGCTGGTGATGCTCAATGGTGCTGCAGGTTTGCTGGCCAGGTGCCTCAGCACAGTCGTGTTCTCTGTTGCAGAAGTGTTGTTGTCCCAGTAAATCACAGCCTGCTTGACTTCCCAGTGTGAGTCCTTTCTTTTGGGGCAGGTTCTTGGTGGGTTTCCCTGGGGACACCTCAGCTGGCTGGATCGTTGTGTGGCTGTGCAACAAAATACCCCCCCCCAAAAAAACCCCATCTTAATTCAGTGCTTGAGTTTAGATCTGGATTTCAAAGTGGAAGGTGCTTCCTTTGGGTTTTGAGGAGCTGGGTTTTGCAAACCCCACGTTGCAGAGCACTGTGCAAACCCCTGGATCCAGGGTTTTAAAAAACAGGGGAAGTTTGGTTTAATTCTTCTATGAGGCAGAGATGGAGCAGAGAATTCCTGCTGCTCTCTCTTATCAGGGCTTTCAGCAATTTCCCCTGTCACCTGGGTCATTGTGAGGATGCCAAAAACCCACACCTTCCTTAATTAGCAGTGTAATTACAGGTATTAATGAAGAAACCATCCCCGTTTTCCAACCCAAAGCGGGATGTAGGAGCTAAGTCACCCCTTATTTTCCTCTTGGCAAGCAAGGACCTGCTTCAGTGCCCTCCTACTTTTGGTGACCTCTGTATATCACAAAAACCAGACAATTCTGGGCCAATTTTCCCCCTCTGGACTCCATCTCCGGAGAGGGAGTGGGTGTCCCAAGGAGGAGAGATGGATGTCTCCAGCCACAGGGTCTCCAGAAGATCCCCCTCAGCATTCCCTTTACATCCAAGGGGATTTTCACCCCATTAAGTTATCGCCTTAAGGAAGGGCGCTCCGGTGCTGTTGCCAAGGTGACCGCAAGTGCCTAATTAAGAGAAATTAGTTTGGATACAGTTGTCAACTGTAGCTTAACAAATAAACCTCTTTACGCTGTGTAAATAAATATTTGCACGCAGCTTCTGCGCGGGGAGGGAGAGACTTCCAAGCCCCGGGGCAGCATCGTGCCAAGGGGCGTTTTGGGGAGATAACCGGCCAAATTGGGGCAGCGCTGGCGCAAACCTGCACCCCCGGGGTTGTGGTGGATGGTGGGACTCCGCAGAGACCCCTCCGTGTCCCCACGCCGCGGAGGGGTGATTTTCCTGCCAAACATCCCTCCTGCCACGGCCACGGCTCCTCCTCCGCAGGGGCTCATTAGCCGGGAACCGGAGGAGCCTTTTCGTGCTTTGAAGGGTTATGAAACCTGCGGGAGAGGGGGAGGACGGGAGAGCTTAAAAAAGAGCCGTCGTGTGTCGTGTGTCCCCCCCCCCGCCCCACAACCAAACCATCGCCTGCCGAAAAGGGCTGGCAGCCGTTCCTGCACAGATTGTGCCTCTGCCCCCGTCCCCCGCCAACCCACCGCCGACGGGCGATGCCTCGGGGTGGAGAACTTTGCTGGGAAACGAGGTTTTTAACAGCGTTTGCCGTGTGTTTGTGTGTGTGTGTCCCGTTGCTGCTCAGGAGAGTGTGGGGGGCAGAGGCCACGGTGCAGCCACAGACCCACCGGAGCATCCGCAGCTATCCAAGGGCTGTCCCAGGTGCTTTTGGCTCCTGATCTCTCCAGTAGGTGCAACAGAACAACACCTACTGCGATGACGGCGTGTGTGGGGGGGTCCAAACCCACCAAACCAACCCTCACCCCCAAAACCTGGGCCGCGGAGCTGCGTGGGGTTTGTCTTGTACTAACTACAAAATAGTTTTGCTCCGGGGATGCGTTTTTCCCCTCCGATTTTTTTCCCCATCCCAGGACCCGGGCATGCCGGCGGGGGATGCAGCAGCCGGTTGGTGCTGTGGGCTCCACCGCTCCTGAAATAGAGCTCAGGGGCAGCTTTCGGGTGTCGGAGGCATCTGAGTGAAGTCATGTGGATGTTATGCAAGACTTGATGATAGGTTGTAAACAGCTATTAAAGTGATTGGCAGGCCCGGGACGAAGTTTGGGGGGGGGGGGGAAGAAAGGGGAAAGATGAGTAATAATGATTAAAATAATTATCAAATCGAGACGTTCCATAAATTACAGGAAAAGTTTTGCGAGGAGGGAGGAAGATGAAGAAACCGCGTTCGAGCGCTTCCCTGAGCTGGGGGTTGGGAGGATGGGACAGACACTGAGCACGTAAAGTTTGGAAAGGAGGGTTTCGCTTCCTCAGACCCAGGTAAAAAGCAACTTCAGCTGAAATTTGGCAGATTTGGGTTCACTGAGTGCTGCTCGGTGCTGGCACCCCCAAAACCCAAGGGCTGAGCAGCCCGAGGAGAACAGCCCCGAGTTAATTAGGAGAAACAAGCAGATTATGGGGAAGACAGCTTCTATTTATATATAAATACTCCAGTAATCAGCAGCGAAGGGCAAGGGAAATCCAATAGAAATATGTGACTGTTTAAGAAGCTTTTTGAGAAAAACGTTACACAATCAGCTGCATTTTTCTGGCTTTCACTCCAAGACCCAGAAATTAAGGGGGGGGAAAAAAAAGAGTGACCCTGAGCAGAAGGAAGGAGAAGGGATTTCTAGAGGCTTCTGCCCATCAGATAAGGAGGAATGAGGAGTCAATCCCATGGGTGCAGTGCAGCGCCCGCCAGAAGCTCACTTTGACCCCCAAACTCCTCAGCTCAGCACCCAAAAACCCAAAAGCTCCACCACACCTTTCGATCCTGTGGGGACAATGTGGAAATACAGACATACACAGGGCGGATTTCGCATGGAAAAAAAGATGCCTGGAGCTTTGCTGTGTTCTCAGGGTGCTGTCAGTGGGTGCTGACACGGAGCAGAAATAGCTGCCGGTCCCCCTGCGATTTCACACGTCGCCCTCGCCACCTCCCACAGCTCTGCTGCACCCCAGCAAAACAGGCACTCTGGGGAGGCTTTGGGGGGTCTCACACATGCAGCTCACTGGGCAGCACCTTCATAATGTCTTTTAGGGGCAATCAGGTGGTCGCATCCCCATTTTGGAGCTGGGAGCTCTTCAAGGGCCTGAGGTTTGGGTTCTTTTGGGTTGTTTTCCCTCCCTGTGCTCACTCCCAGCACAGCTGCACTAAGTTTTTGTGATTTTTTTTTTATCCTGAAGGCAATATAAGGCCCAAGGTTTAGGGGATCTCAGGTAATCTCAGGGGACCTCAAGGTTTAGGGGATAGGTGCATGCTTTTGGTGTCTAACCCTGCCAGTGAGCTGGTTGTCCCAGTGCTCTGCTTTTTGGGACTATTTTTGTCCCTGTAGTACCATTCCCCATGTAAGGAAGGATGATAGAAATTTGTCCCCTTGTCTGCAGGGAGCTGGATTCACTGCCCAGGGGTCACTGGTGTTTGCTTTGGGGCCTGGGTGTGCCTATGGCTTTGCAACATTGATTTTAGGGGTTGCATTTAAATCAGGAGAATCACCCCTGCCGTGCAATGACCTTTTCTGGTTTTCTGTCTTCTGTGCCACCTGTAAAGTCACCTCTGCCATGGGAAGTGTGAGCTGGGCTGGGATGCACACGAGTGCTGCAAGTGCTTTTCTGCTCCATGCACAGACTTTTGGGGCCCCTCTAATTGTCAAAGTCATGAAATCTCTTCAACACATGGATGTGATATTACAGATGTTTAGAACACTAAGCTAGATGTCTGTGAGCTTCCCTGGTCATTAAATTAGGGTATTTCTTGGCTTTTTGTTGTTAACCCTTTCTGTGCACGAGGCAGGAAAATAAGGGGTGCAGGTAGCAGGAGTGTGTGGGTTTGTGGGATGGGAAGGTGTTGGGGTCAAAACATCCATCAGCCCCAATGCAGAGGGCACAGGCCATGGAAATCCTGTAAAGGAATCCTGGAGAGGGTGTAAATCCCTTGGGAGAGCTGCTCTGGTTGGGGTTGTAGGTCCATGCAACCCTCTCTTGCCATGTGCTTGTGATAGCTTGTGATGAGCTGGTGCCAAAGCACCACGATGAGTAGAAACAACGTGTTTTGGGGCATAAAAAGGGTGAGCTGCCCTGTGCAAAATTACCAGGGGTTTGGCCAAATGCACCTCTAGGTGCTGATGTGGTGCTGGTTTAAAGGCAGTGCTTTTTCCTCTGGGATGAGGACTGGGAGCTGAGGGCTGGTGCTCACCCACAGGAGTCCTGCTCTGCAGAGGCTCCCCAGGAGTGGGTGATGCTGCTCCCAACCTGCCCGAGCCCTGCAAGGCGCTTCCCCAACACCTGCTTGGTTAAAAGGCTTTAGAAAATGGTCTTCCCTGGGGATAACTCCAATTCCAGGTCTGGCAGTGGAGGCAGGCGAGTGTGCTGGATGCCGTAGGGCTGGTGTGCAGGCTGCTCGCTGGCTCTGGGGATTCTGGCAGCTTTTCTCCAGCTGTGATGGACTGAATTCCTGCTATTTTGGGTCTCTCCAGCAAAGATGGTGAAGGGATGGGGTCAGTCATGCTTCAGGGCTGCATCACCTCTTTTAGGGATGGCTCTGGCTGCACAGTATCCCTGCCGTGGATCCCACGGGATCCCCCTGCGGGATATGGGCTCTGGCCACGGATCCCATCCCACGGCACGGCTTCAGGGCCGTGATTCCCGCTCGTTTTTTCCTCTTTCCTCGGGGCTGTGCTCGCTGCTGCTGCTTATGCAAGCGCCGGGAGCCTTGTGTAACAGTGCCGCAGCCGGCTGCGCGGCCGCGGGGGTGGGCGGCTGCCTCCGGATCATTCCCTGGATGTGTGTTTTCCTGGCGTTCAGGGCTGTAGGGTGGGTGCCTTGGGGTCTTGTGGCTGTGCTTTGCTCCCGGCTAGAGACAGGAAAGGCTGTAGCAGAGCTCCAGGCTTCCTGGCTGCGCTGTGAATTGAGCTGGGAATGCTGATAGACCTGGAATGGGCTGATGAGGATCTGGGCTGGGCAGAGGCGACGGGATGGGGGGCAGCTTCCCAAATGCCCTGACAGGGCTGTCCTAGGGGATTTGCTTTGGGTCACAGCTCTGAGAGCTCGGTCTCAGCCTCCCCTTGCTCCTGGGGCACTGAGGTGCAAAGTGATTTTCCCTATTAAACCCTTTTTTGCTCCTTTTGGAGCCCCTCTGACCCCC